ATTGTCTAAAACTCACCATGAGTTTTCAGCATCTCTTAAACTCACCACAACTTTTCAAAATGTCTAAAACTCACCATGTCACTAACTTGACGTTAAACAGACTAATGAGCGTTAATATATTACCATTTTAACCTTCATAGAAAAATATAAAATGTATACAAAATAAATTAACTGGTGTTAATATATTGCCATTTTAATATTTAGACATGAAAAAAAGGAAAAACATTCAAAAAAGTATTTTCAAATATAAAATACATAAAAAACATAGAAATTACAAAAAATATAAAAAAATTATAGAAATTGGAAACAAAATAAAACAATATTTTCAAATTATAGAAATTATAGAAATTGAAAAACAAAATCAGAAAATAAAATTTGTTGAAAAAACACAAAAAAATTATAGAAAAACACAGAACTTGTAAATATATAACAAAAATACAGGAAAATTTATAGATTGTAGAAAATAGACAAATTTAAAAAACAGAAATTATAAAAAACATTAAAAATGCAAAAAAAAAACAAGAAAATTGAAAATTGAAAAAGACCATTTTTCCTCTAACTCACTATTCAAGGGTAATTTGGTCATGAAAATTGTTACTTATGCTGACATGGACAGGAAAATTTATAGATTGTAGAAAATAGACAAATTTAAAAAACAGAAATTATAAAAAAACATTAAAAATGCAAAAAAAACAAGAAAATTGAAAATTGAAAAAGACCATTTTTCCTCTAACTCACTATTCAAGGGTAATTTGGTCATGAAAAATATTACTTATGCTGACATGGACATGTCTCTTAAGAAGCATTAACAATGCACTAATGGAATGTGAGTTTTGGAAAATAAAAACTTACTAACATGGTGAATTTTAAACATTTTGAAAAGTTGTGGTGAGTTTAAGAGAAATGTTGAAAACTCATGGTGAGTTTTAGACAATTTCCCTTATCATAATTGACTCCATAACTAACCTTATTTAACACACCACTTATAACATTAATTAGCTTCATTAATTATCTTCATCTTATAATTATTTCAATTAATTCCATTTAAGTATATTTAAAACACATATTGTACAAAATTAAGATATTCAAAATAGGGTTGTTCATAACAAGACTCAAACCGACCAAACAAACCAACCCGGTCGGACCCAACCCGAGTCGGCTGGTTTTTCTTTAGCATCAGTCGGTTTTGCGTTACAAAAAACATAAACCGATGGTTTGGTTTGGTTTCGATTTTCATGTGTGAAAACCAAAATCGAACCGACCTGAACCGATTGAGACACCAAGAGAATCATTCACAAAACCGACCCAAATTGACTCAAATCGACTTGGTCAGTTTTACTTAGTTCAGGGTCGGATTCAGTTTCATTTCTAGGTAAACCGACTAGGTTGGGCCGATTTGAAAAGCGCCAGTAAACCAACCCATGAACAACCCTAATTGAAAATAGTTGATCCTATGTTGCTTACTTGAAACATAAGTGTTTTAACCACTAAGCCACTTCATGATATCTTGTCAAATTAGCATTGATAAGAAATTATATTATATCCATCTGTGTTAAAGTATATAAAATATTCATTTGCAAATACCTAAGTCTTGAGTCATAAATCCCATAATCAAATCAGCTTGAATGATTTTGCCCCTATAATCTCAACTATCCATTTAAAAGTTTTTTTTTTATGACTAATTTCTTAGGAGAATGTACTTTTTCTACTACACATAACGCTATTATTTATTAAACTTTGTTTATTTTAAATTTTGTAACCTTTTTATATGATCATTAATGAGATTTATAGTATTAATTTGTTAAGCTATGCATATATGTGTATACCAATGTTTCCTTGGTTCATTATACATCCGATTTTTATGGTAAAATTACACTTCACATAAAGTCATAAATTATTAAAATACAATTTTCTTATGTATAGAGTTATTAGAGTTGTAGATTATATAAAATTCAAATATTTTTAATATATACATATATATATGTATATATATATATATTTGAATTTCATATATATATATATATATACATATATATATATATATATATGTATATATATATACATATACAATTTTCTTATGTATAGAGTTATTAGAGTTGTAGATTATATAAAATTCAAATATTTTTAATATATACATTATATATATATATATATATATATATATATATATATATATATATATATTTGAATTTCCATGGTGTATCCATGTGTATGCTAGATTTTCCATTGTATCTATACATATCCAAAGAATATCCAAAATCCAAATACATTTCTTTTAATTGCATCTTCAATATTCTTTGCATTTTCCGATATCTTGAACCTTGCACTTGATTTTACATCACATAAGTAAAATGTGATGCCCTCTTAAAAAGTAATAGATAGATAGATAGATAGATAGATAGATAGATAGATAGATAGATAGATAGATAGATAAATAGATAGACAAGTTTATAATTGGGTATCGGGAGTAGGTACCCACATTAAATATAATTGGGTTTGGGTACCGGGTACCCTAAGGTCAAAACCCAAGTCTGTCCCAAACCCTATAGGGTTTAAATATAAAATCCCAAATCCATCCCAGACCCTATAGGATTTTGATTAACGGGTCCTATTAGGGTCAGGATGGATTAAATACCCTAAACTTTCCACGAAATTGCCATCCCTATTTATATCAATCTATATAGATTCGTCCCATGCTAGAAAGCACATGGCCGAATTCTCTGAATAAACCCAATGAACCCCTGAACCAACCAAACTGGGCTTAATATGGGCCCAACTAGGTTCTCAGCAATTCATCATTTTTCCGAGACATAGCTATTTTCCCATAACTTCAACCTAGACTATCCTTATCTCTGTTGGCTTACACTCATCCCCCGCTGATCACCAGGCCATTGACAAAGTCAATGTTATTTATGAAAATTTGTGCTTCAGGAGAGAGAAACTGACCAGAGACATGGTTTCTGGGTGATGAATCAACCCCAGTTCCACTGTAGTTTGAAAGCTTAGATTTAGTATTTACTTAAACTTGTCAACCACATAGATATTATTTACAAATGGGTAGTTGACATATACATGGACGATCCATGATCCATCCGATACAGAAATCGGGGAATCAAATAAAAATGTTTTAGGTGGTGTTTTTTAATGCCTTAACAGAGTTTGCATGTGATGAGAAAGATAGATATATTAATCTATAATGTGAAACTCTTTACTTTAATGCTGCATTATTAGAATTGGTTGCTTCTTCATCTTCGCTCCGATGACTGCATTATATTATATTACCAATATTTTTATATTAAACTATAATAAAGACACTTGAATTTCCCTATGAGATCACATTGGATACTGTCTTTGGAAGAGGTGGAAGAGGGGTTTATGGATATTAAAGAACACACAGTATTAATATTACTAAAAAATCTCCATTTGCTTTGTATTTTTGGACTCCAAATTAAACGGCAAATATATATATATATATATATGAATGCGACATGATCCGTTGTCTAGCCAAACTGTTTTCAATGGCTTTGACAAGAGGACAGTTCCGTAACCAGCTCCGGTACAGATGGATGTACTGTGTAGCTAGCTGGCTATCTAGTGGTCTAGGAGGAGAGAAGTTGCTTTCCATATATAGGTTAATAGGCACAGATATGGATATACTCACTCTACATTGGAGCTCTTAAAACTGTTCTTGATATAAAATTGACTACAGTTAATAAGCTTATCAGAGTCATTGTGTTCACACTTACTCTCGTAAAAGCTAATGAGGTCTTCAGGAAAAATTGACCTTGAATTGAATGCTTCAGTCATAAAATGGGTTTAAGAAATAAAGTTATTAATAAGGTTATTCATCTCATCTCATCTTTGGGGCCATTTAACTCGTGGCAAGTCTGTTTTGAAAGATCTTTTAAAAGTTTTAATAGTTAAAAGATGATGTGAGATTTTGTATCAAGATCTCATTAGTTTGAAGACTGTTTCGTTTAGGTACATCTGTTTGTGTGTCTTTCTATGGGAAGATGAATTGAAAAGGCTAAGAAAAGTTCCATTTGGAGCTTCCCAAAAATAACTCGAAATGGGTTTTTTTATGTCTTTTTGGGATTTTGGTTTTCAACGGTTAGATCTTTTTCCAACCAAATAGAAAAAAAGACCAAAATGCAAGCTGTCAGACTTCTAACCCGTACAAAAAGACACACCAAATGGAGCTGATACTAAGCTTTAATTAATCATGTTCATAATCGGTACGAAAGAAGAATAATCTTGCAGATGGACTAATTTTTAATATATAATGCAATTATATGCAACTAGTCTCTACTCTGAAATGGATTTCATACACCAATATGTATAAAACGTTCTATACACGTAAAGTCAATTAATCCTCTAATCTCTCCCGGATTGTTAGTTTACTAGTTTCATAACGTAGTGATTTGATGATTAACATCGCATTAATTAAATTAAAGCCCATCAATTTTCTCTTTTTTTTTTTTGGGAAAAGTGGGAGAAGTTAAGACCCATCAATTTGAACTTTTAATTTCTTCATCATTTTCTTCAGAATCACAAAACACAAGATTCAAAACTGAACAGATGCACTCAGGAAGTGTATGTTTTGTTGCAATAGTGCTTATGAGCTGCAATTCTTTTCCCTGGTGATTCCATGACAAGTGCCCATGTGACCCTAACACAATCTCATATAATCAACGGTCCAACCCAGATGTTCAAGTTCAACCAACTGACTTGGAGAAGATAAAAAAGAAAGCTACATAATTAAATACATCCATGTCTTCTGTTGCCAAGCACAACAGACGCAGACATATACACAACTAAGCTTCAATATACAAGGAATCTCAACTACCAAAAAACCTTAGCCAATTAACAGAATATAAAAAGAAAAGAATGGTGGCAAATCATTTATTCAAGCAAATTATGAGCTGCAAAAGTTCCTCCACCAAAAGAAATTAGCTGATGTGAAGCTTTAAATCTCTAAAATGTTGAAGATTAATTAGGACTGGACATAAGAACTTTTATAATTTGATTCCTTGATTAATTTCGAAATAGTAACTTGGTCCCTGCAGATAGAAGAAGTCTATACTCTACCTTATTCATATAAAGCTTTTAAAGTCTTCTCTCATACATTGCCTTCAAAGACTAAAAGAAAGTAAAAGAAGACATCAAAGGGGAAAGTAGAAAGAAAAAAAAAATGAAAAATTATCTGCACAGTGGATTCTGAGGATGGTGAGGTGGAGTCAGCTCAGCTTCTGATGAGCAACTCTCTCCCCCAAAACCATACTCATTAATGAACAAAGCTTCCTTCTTTTCCTGTACCACCTTCAATATCTTCTCGAAGACAGCGACCTCACAGGGAATCCTCAATACTCCTTCCTGTTGAAACCCAAATTCCTCTTCTGCTTCTCTCAGTAAGATCCCGAAGGCTCTATGACTCAAATACTCTGTTGGGATTATAAATCTCTTCATTTCCTCTCCCACACAAACAGCAAGATATCCTTTCGGAACAGTGTCGCCTGAAAGTGCTGACATGGAGATTTCAGAGAAAGAGAGTGTCTTCTTCAGAAATTTGATGCTCTTACTGCCACTGCCGTTAGTGGTAGCTGTGGTGTTGCTGCTGCTCTTTGGTGCGTTTGCAAGCTTCCTCCATTTTTTCAGCATCCGCTGAAGCCTAACTATATCGCTGATCTTGTTAGACTTCTTGGAATCCATGGTGTTCTTGAAAGACTGTGTTCGTTTGGTTTTCCCTCTGCAGAGATTTATAGAGAAATTGGGATGCTTGAGTTGTGAGTTTTGATTTTTCACACCATATTTTTCTAATATTTTATGCTATTTAAGTTATTAATTTACATGGGTTTCTGTTGCAGCTGCCTAAAGAATCAAATTCCATAGTGGGTTTTTATTTGTTTAGTCCCTAGCTAGATCAGTACCTTCCAGATTTTTTTATCCTTTACTGCTGTAATCTGTCTCTCTCTTTATTGGTTCCTTTCCTTTATCCTATATGCTGGGATTCCTAACTACTTCAACCCTAAAAGCTTGTCAAGGGTTTGTAAATGACTAGTACTGATACCTCAGAACTCCAACTTGATCAGTTTCTTGTTACTTCTCAGATCTTCCTCAGTGTCATTGAGATTAAGAACTGACTAGTTGTTGCTTGGTTTCATCCAACTGTCTCAGCAGTCAAAGCCCGTAGGGAACTCGTCTTCTTCAATAATTTAGTTTTTCAGCTTTGCCTTGGTATTTTCATCACTTTAATTGCTATATGATGTTGTTAAGTGCTTTATGCCTTTGATTTTGCATTTGTTTATTGAGATTATATTAGTGCTTGGAGGATCGTGGAAGGTGGCAATCAAGAAATTTCCATGTGAGTATGCCCATTGAATTTGGTTATAAAAATTATAAAATGCATCTACACTTAAGGGTGTGTTTGGTTTGTGGGAATAAAGGTCTAGAATTGGAATGGGACCATTCCCATTCCAACCATTTGCTTGGGCGGAATTGGAATTCCATTCCCATTCCTGGTGGAATGGCATTCCCCCATTTGAGGGAATTTTCATTCCCTCCCCCTCCCTTAGGAATGAAATCGCATCCCAGCTGATTCCAATTCTCATTCCGATTCTTATTTGAACCAAACAGACCATGGGAATAGACCATTCTGATTCCGATTCCAACTGCGAATCAAATGGACCCTAAAATCACTTAAATTTCCTTTTTCTTTAAATGACTGTTGGTAAAATTGAACTCTGATGTATTTGAAAAGCTAAAAAGAGTAGCATTCGACTCGTAAATAATTATAATTTGCATTTGTTTTGTACCTTTGAATATAGTTGAATTGTTTGAATATTTGAATGTTAAAATTGTTAGAGAATAAATACCTATTCAAAGACCTCATTTAACAATTTAAGCTTTTAGGTTAAATAGTTCATTGAGATGGTATTAGAGCTAGTTTAACCAAATGGTCTTAGTATTTGATCCTCTTCACCCCATTAAAATTAATTAAATTTCAGCATAAGGTATAAATGGGTTTATGCATATCCATGCTTCAGACCTGATGGGCTTTGGCGTGAGAAGACGTGTTGAATAAAAACTTATTTGGAGAACTCACCTAAAAGTCTAAGGTGATGTTTGGCATCGATGATGATTTCTCCTTGCTAATTATCCAGAAATCTGTGATTTCTGAAATCAATGATTTTTGAAAAATCATCAAAATTTGTTGTTTGGTATCATTTATGCCACTAGTGGGAAGAATACCTCAAGGTAAAATCTAAAACATAGTAAAACTACATGTATTAGCTTATTATTATGACAATGGGTGGTGTTGTAACAATCACTTTATTTGAAACTAAGGGCACCCAAAAGCTACTATTTTTAAAATCCAAAGTTTGGAATTCCAGTAAGAATGCAAAACATTATATGATGGAGCTTGTGCAATAGGGGAAGTGGGATGGGGTCCAACCACAAGAGATCAACACCCTAATCCTGAATGAACTACTATAACTTGTGGCTATTTTTCTTCTTCAGATGATCATGGAATAAAAGGCAAGCCTCCTCCCCTAGTGAAAATGTATCACCTTTAACACAACATAACCAACAACTATCTAGATGCTCTATACATAGAGACCCTCCAAGAAGAAACCAAAGAAAAATCAAGATGTACCAAAGCAAATATCTCAGGTCCTTGACATACTAGAGATGATACATAGTGGGCCTTTTGTGGGTGAATGCATGATAAAATTAGATGAAATTGGATGTAATCATTCTAATTAATCCACCCTATTGCAAATCATCTGTATTGTTTTCTACTAGTATATATACCCATAAAGAACGGATGTGGTGGTGTGAGACAGCAAATGAGCCAGCAATGACTATGTGGTTAGAACCGCTTTCTAAAGAGAGGTGGGGATAGGAATAATGGTATTTTTTTTTGGATGGTAACATGTAAGAACTATGATTGTTCTTTTGTTTTAAGGATGATGTTGATTTCTAAGGTTGAAATATACTATTCTTTTTTTGGATGTTGGAACTTTGGTTGACTTTTGTGTTAGAGATGATTGTTGATATGTTTTGTTTATGTTTCAATTTATTGATGGCTTGTTATTTAGGAATGATTGTTATGTGATTGTATGTGTTTGATATATGTAATGTACATACATTTTATAAAGACAAATGTTGACTGATGAAATGGATGAATCACTGTTAGTCCTTTTGATATTACAAGTAAGTGTGCATATGTTTTGCATGTGGTAATTATAGATGATGATAATGATAGTAATAATGTATCAACTTTTTTCTATAAACCTTATGTATTTTTGTTTTTGTTTTTATATTTTTATATTATTTATTATTAATCTGATGCGAATTGCAAATCTAAATTTGATCACATAAACATCTCATACAAATATGTGATAATTGGATCGAGTTGTGAAATTTTAAGTATCATTGATAGGCCTACTTGCTTGGCTAAATTCTTCTTTTCGTAATATTTAATATTTTTTGTGTAATTTATCAAAAAATGTAAGATTTAAATAAAGGAAATTGACTGGGGGTAAAAAATAGTAGTTCAATTTACAATTTAAACCTCATAATTAAATAGAGACTAAATTCAAAAATGAGTATTTTAGTCAAAAGAAAGTTTTACAATCTTATTCATATTTTTAATAGTAGTGTAAATATAGAATTGTAGATGTGTTCAATTTTTTCTATAACTTTTTATTTTTATGTGTAAAAATAATTCTAATATGTCACACTTACTTTTTGTTTAATATGATAAATATATGACATTATACATGTGCCTAAATGTTTTATGCAAAATTTATGTATTTTTTATTTTTATATTTTATTAACTTTTATTATTTATTTATGACATTAAAGGTTAACATGTTTGACCCAAAATTTGAACTATTGATCTTTATCAAACAGTAAAATAATTTCATTTTTGGCCAATTCTAAATTATGTATTTCATTTTCATTACCAATAGAAATAAATCTTGTTTATTACAATTGTTTTTTTTTAATTTGATTAATAAAAATCATAAGCGTGTCTAAATTTTTCTACATTTTTTGTAAGTTTCTATGTTTATTTCTATTTTAAAAATTTTATTATGTAACTTTGACTTCGTAGGTTAATCAATTTGATTCAGATGGTTGAATTGCTTAGCCACCACTTGGATTAAAAATGGTTTTGTTTTTTAGTTAGTTTTAAAATATATGGGTTTATATTGTTAAAAATATTGCCACAAATCTAATTTAATAAGAGAAAATGAAAGTTAATAATTTAAGTATAAGACTTAATGAGAGGGGATTAGATGAAGTAGGAAGTAATAATTGAAATTATATTTTCAACCCTTACCATTAGAGATGGGCAAAATACACAATTGTGGGCATTTTAGTAGGCATTAAAATTGGCATTAAAGCTATAATAAAATGATTTTTATACTCTTCTCAAACAAAGAAGCAGAGGACAATTTTAGTCCAAAAAAAGTTTCACATTGTATTCACACTTTTATATACAATATAGATGTAAGTTGATTTTTGAGAAATTGGCTTTGAGTCTTTTTGGTACTGATTTTCAAGGACCAATTATTTTTGTATTAGAGTTATTATTCAATGCCATGTTGGATGCCATGTCATCCTCAAAAATTCAGAATCAGTTAAAAATAAAAAAAAAACACCAAAAAAGGTGATCCTTGAAAAGTGTTGATTTCAATAATCGATTTTGGCTGATTCCCGAGAAATTGACATAATTGGCCAACCAAACAAGAAAAAAAAATCATGGATTCTTCAAATTCTGATGTGGATCCTACATGGTGTTGATTTTTGGGAAATCATTATTGATGTCAAACATCACCTAAGTCTTTTGGTTGCATGGCTCCTTTGAGATAAGTATCTAAGAGTATTTTGTTTTATGAATTAATCATTTGAATATATCTGTTTGATAGATGTAAATGCTATGTAATTGGCATTGCAATTTACAAAAAATCAACAAAGAAAGATGTTGGAACTCTTATAGACATTGAAAAGAGTGGATCAAGAATAAAAGAATTTAAAGATAAATACTTTCCAGTCAAAAAGTGGCCACTTTGTTCTTAGTTTTATAACAAAAAAAAAAACAAAACATCTCTCATAAATGGCATTAAAGTATAATGGAAAAGTCATTTTCTAAGTTTAGAGCTGCATTTAGTGCAAACAAACACCCACACCCCCTATTTTTGATAGAAAACAAGAGGTGCTACACAAGTCGGGGGGGGGAGGGGGTAGCACACCCCCAAACATAAGACAAGCAAATCAAAATGAGATCCTTTGGGAGATTACAAGGATTAAAAGAAATTGGCCCATCAAGAGAAGTAAAATCTCTATTTGCAATCCAGTCTGCTCCTTGATTCGCCTCCCTATAAACGCGCCTATAGCTTACTCCACACTCCAACTTGTCCTTCACTTGCAAGCATTTTGAAATGATATTTCTAAGATTCCAAGGAGGAGAAGACAACCCTTTGAGTTAATGAATGGCAAGGTTTGAATCCCCTTTGATGATGATCGAGTGGTTTCAAAAGTTGGCTACCAAGTTATGAGCTTCCCATGCAGCCCATGCTTTAGTAGAGTTGATTGTGGAGGTGTCTAAGAAGTAGCCATTGAAGTCCAGAATCCCACCCCAGTGGTTCCTCGCAATGGACACCATAGAACACCTACCATTCTTGTGACAAGAAGCATCAAAATTAATTTTAATTTCTCTATGATTCAAAGGGGCCCAATAGATGGCTTTCCAACTTCTTAAAACTTTGGTAGAACTCAGATTCCTAGATAACTCCTCATATTC